ACCACGCTAAAAACTCAGCTATATCTGGATATGTCCACAAAGAGTTTGAATGACAAAAACAGTGTTGTTCAGAATGGGTGTATGACTTAGGAGCCAGTATGGATTTTTCTGGGAAAGTTGTACAGTATCAGAATTTCAAATCTGTTTTTAGGCTGAATTTCTAAACAGTAAGCATCTGAGCAGGACACAGAACAGAGTAATACTGTGAAATATCTTCTCTTGTGTATGTTTTGTTATTTAGTTTTCTTCAGGTGCATTTCTGCATTTCCTGCACGCTTCTGTTAAAAGAACAAGGGAATAAGAGTATTGTTTGTATTTGTGCAAGAAGCGTGTATATGTGTGTGAGTATGCTGTTCACCCTTAAAGGCTGGATTATGCCAGCATTTGGAGGTGGAAAGCTCCACTTATTGCAGGAGAGGCTTTTTCTGTTTGCTAGAAGTGAAGCAGAAGAGGGTTAGTTAGTCAACGGAAGAGAAAGTTTCAGTTCTCTTCTGAAGAATTTCATTGTTTCCCTGTGTGGAGCTTGGTTTTCTTTCAGCATCACAACCTTTACAGTATTCTGCCAAATGGAGGAGCCTCCAACAGAGGCAGTGATGAACCCCTATGTGCATGCCCAGGGGCAGAGTTGTACTTATTTTTCTGACTTTTGAATTAATATAGTGGATTCTTTTCCTTAGCAGAAAGCAGTGTTTGCTGGTGTGGTTCTCACCCAAAACAGAGTGCAGGAGGGGGAAATATGGGGGGACTAATGATGCTTTTCGCTAACTGGAAAAAGCCTCTGAAGTTAACAACAGCTGCTGTGCTTCTTTTCCCTCTGTGTGCCCAGGTTGGCATCCAGCGAGGACACTGTGACCCTGGGAGCTGCAGTGTGGCACTGCGTGTATTTGACAAGCTGAGTCCGACACTCAGTGTGCAGAGTGTCAGTTTGTCAAATACCCCAAGTGAGGCACTGCTGAGCAACGTGACGCCGAGGGTCCAGCCCTTTCCTCCTGCTCTGGCAGGAGTCTTCCTCTCCAGGCTTGGAGTACCTCTCCAAAAACCCACCGAGGTACTCAGCAGCCCATCCCATTGTTCCAGAACTGACTGATCCTGTGCTGCCAAGTTTCCCTTCCACCCTGGTTTTGGAAGTGTCTGTCGGGGTATCCCTCCCAACAGTAAATCAGAGCAGAAGTGGTTCTGGTGCAACTTCTCTGCACTGTGAAGACGGAATTGTGCCCTGGGTCCTTGTTCTCTGCATCCAAATACAATGCTATTCTCTTACAAGCATTAACTAGCCAGCTGTAAATGAAACTCAGTTAACAAGGATCCTGGCAAGTACAATCACAACATCATGGGTGAAGGCAGCATTATCTGTAATAATCTTTCCTTTGCACATAGTAGTAATCTTTTTTTATATGGAGTACAAACTAATGAGGCTGCTTGTTAACTTCCCTCTGGCCCATTAGCCTGTGAAAAATGCATGTTTGCTCAATCTGTTTTAAATTAGGCCGTGGAGTCCATTGCCCCTCCTGGGAGCTTTGCTGTTTGGAGAAGACTTTGTCTTTGGATGGTTATTCCTAGTCAGCACTTGCAGCAAGGTTGCCTATTCTGCTGTTTAATTAAAGTAATTCCCTCTAAATTGTCCCACTTGAAGATGTAATGATTGATAAGTGTTTTCAGTAACTAACTTGTAGCATTTCAGATATGTCAGGGTAGGGGAATGACGGGCAGTATCCAGCCCAATTTGACAAATCAGACTCTTTGAAAGCATTTGACATGGAAAACTCAAAAATAAAAAAAAATTCCAAGACCCTACTGACTAGTTTTAGGACAATACCACCAGCAAATTTTGCAATATTTGAGAGTATTAATAAACTTGAATACTAAGCTTTTGGTCTTTTTGTTGCAACTATTTCTTAGTAAATATTTTGAAGAAGTTGGAGTTTGTACAAAGCTGGGACCCGTGAATGTATATCATTGCCCAAGCAAATTGTGTTCTGCTTTCTGAATAGCTTGTGCACTTCTGGACAAACATGGTCCACAAGTGGCCCTACTCCTTATGACTCACACTCCCATGGTCTCTCTCAAGCACCTCCTCATGACTCACAAACATCACTCTGACCTTTATCACTGAGGTTAGCTTCAAAAGAGAGCAAGGTCTGTGATTTCAGGCTTTGCTTTGTCCCCAGTGGATTATAAAGCACACAGCCATGTCAGCCCCAAGCCCTGCTGTCACTCAAACCTCGAGGTTTCAACAGACCCAACCTCCTTTGCTGGCCAAGTGTTTGTTTTTCCCCTTCATTCTTGTTTTCTCATGCATTTCCAATTTTTGCTTTCAGCAGTTTGTTCTCTGCTTTTTAAATAACTCCCTCCTTCAGCTCACAGATCCATCTAGATGACTGGGGTGAAGGGGAAGAATGTAAACTCCTTCCTCTCTTACCAGAACAAGCACCAAATTACAGTGGGACAAATTTCTCTGGGACTTCATCTCCCACCTCCCTGCTCTGTATGGGACAAACCCAGCAGGTGTAAAAGCCAACAAGTCCCCTCCAGGGGACAGGCACTGCAAGGGGAACTGTGAGTCCCATTACACTGCGCCGGCCACTCAAGATAGTGTGTTTTTGGGAGGCAGTGTCCTTTCAGGGCAGAAGCTGAGCTTTTCCTTCTGTTTTGGAGCAGAGCTCAGCAGATGAGCTTTGGGTGAATGACCAGTGCAACAAAAAGAGAAGTTCTTTGGTTTGCTGGTGATGCAACACAGCAGAACCCTCTGTGGCTTTCAGAAGAAAAATGTTCTGTTGCCAACAGGTTTTACTAGACACATGGAAAACATACCAAAAGTAAAATAAAGAAATAATCACACACTTGTTGCTCAGGTAAAAACACGTCAGTATTGGAGATAGGCTTCTTGTTTTTCCACTGTTCTGCTACTTGTACCCAAAGTCCTTTTGCTGCCCTAACTAGAGGGAATGACAACATGGAGTAAGTGGGGGTGGTCCATCTGGGGCATCTGCTCTCCCTTTCTTAACTCCTTCCTCTGTAGCTTCTCCCAGGCTTCATGTCTTCTGAGAAAGGTGTCCAGACCTCTGCCCAGAGCAGATCAGTGCTGGGAGGAATCACAAGATGGAAAAACCATGGTGTTGTATAGTCAATGAGTGAACCTGGAGCTCAGAGCCTTTAACAGCTGGAAAACTTGCACAAAACACCAAGCTAATAGAAAATTAATGAGGATGATATTTGGGGGGGAAAAGGAGAGTGCCATGTCATGAGTTTTGGGCCTAGATCTGCTGAGGTAAGGATGGGGAAGCTGAGAAATTTTCAGTTCCCTTCCCATCCAGCACTGATCTTGCACCATATCCTACTGCCCTTGTGTGTGTGCTGCAGCGCCCCATTTCCCTCAATTCCTTTGTTCTGCACTATCCCTGGAACTGCTGATGCAGCAGCTTCTGCAGCATGGGGTCTTCAGGGTTGGCAGCCATAGGTCCCACAGGAACTGACTGGATCCTGTCTGCCTCCCTGGAGTACAGCCTGACACCCAGCACAGCCCTCCCTGCATGGCTGTCACTGTGTTTGTGAAGCCCTCACAATATGGGCAGATTTTTACCTCTGATCTTGCCCACCTCATGTCCTGCAGAAGAAGCATCATTGCAGTGCAGAGATGTAAAGGTAAAAGTGTGGCTCTACACAGTACTCAGGCCACAAACAGCAATGTGGCCCTGCTGTTAGGCTGCTGACCTGAGAAGGGACGATCCAAGGCAGCAGGGATGAGCCTTGTGAGTCAGGGCCAAGCAGGAGGGTATATGTGACTTGAGCTCAGCTGCTTCCCCATGCTTTCCTTGCTGCACCCACAGATATAAAAAAGAGCCAGTAACTCTCACAAATTTGGTTTGCTAAAGCCAGGAGGCATTCCTCCTCCCTGCCAAGCCTGGAGGACAAAGGGATGCTGGCTGGAGGCACAGGTAGGGAGGACAAGCTGACAGCAGCACTGCAGTACAGGCAAGATGCAAACAATTAACAATGATGAGGCAGATCAGGCTGCTGAGTGACAGTGTAGTGTAGGGAATGCACCGCAGCTGAACTGCATCCATGTTACATGACAGGTCAGCATTAGTAATCACAGGCTGACTTACTTCCCACAGAGTAATTTGGTGTCAGTCTGTTGTATTCAGACAGGTGCCTTACTCAGTCATTATCCAAATGCCTCTCTATCCAAATTTCTCTCTATTTTATCATGCCTCTGGCCCCCATACTGTAAAAATTAAATCCCAGCATTTCCTTCAACATCAGTTCTGGTTTTCAAGGAGAAAACCAGTGGGTGAGAGTTCAGAGACTCATTCCCTCTCTCTCTGAGCACTGAGCTCCTGTCTGATAGCAAAAATTACTTTCCTGGGACATCAGCCTCTCCTCTGTTGTCCCTTTACCATGCTGTAACAAAGAAAGAAATACTCAAGGACAGCCAGGATGTACAACCAGTATTTGCTGAGCTGCAAAAGCCAGAGGATTTCCATTTTCAGCACAATTCTGGTTCCTTGCAGCCTGGAATGTCTTAACAGGAATACACATTGGAGAGTACCCCTTGCTAGTGTTACTGACTGGCAGCATTTTATCAACTGCCCATGGATTTACAGGCTAAAGAATTTCATGTTCTCACGCCTTCAGATCCTCTCTTCCTGCCTTGGTCCTTCAGGTTGCTCAGAAACAACTTGCTGTATAGAAGTGGGTAGACAGTTGGCTGGGGGTTTCTGCTCCCACAGGCAGGGCCTGGTCTGCCAAAGACCAAAAGGTTATGCAGCTCCTCTGGGTTAAAGCAAGCAGTGATAGCAGAACAGAGGGACAACAGGAGGAAAAGTTTCCTTCTGTTAAGTTCACTATTCAGTACCTGCAGCCCTGCATGGCTGCTTATGTGGAAAAGCTGGTACTTTACTAATTTCCTTCTGTTTCATATTGTGATTCCATTGCAGTCACAAGGTTCTCATACTCAGGACTTTTCCTGTCTTTCACGGTAGTCTTTTCAGTGTTAGAGCTCATTTCCTCATGTAGGCATATAATAGGGACTTCCACCTCAGCGTGCAGCGGGGCGACATCTGCAGTGCTGCGGCTGGGACAAGAGAGACATGAGTGAGAGAGACAACTAAAGCAGATGGCACTTCACTTACATCTTAGAGACAAGATCTAGCACGTAATCTGTGAAACAGCAAAATTCATATTATTCTAGTGAAGGCCTGGGAGGCTCTGGAAGATATTAGAAAGACACTTAAAAGAATTACAGAAAAAGAAGCACTGGTTAATACTGGCACTATAAACTCTCATGGCATTATCATGTTATACTCTAAAGTTACCAGCAGACACTCTAGCCTTTGAAAAGTAATTATCAGGAATAACTGGGAAAAATTGCTACAGATGGCTACGGTGTGTCTCTGAGTAGGAAAGCAGTACAAAGGCGTTGAAGATTGAAATGAGGACAGGGCAGATGTGTTTGTATAATCATACACTAATAGGAACTCTGCAAAGTAATACTTGGCCAAATGCTCAGACATGTTTCTTATAGAGAAAGGCAAGTGTAGAGGGAACTTAAAGGAAGAGCTGAGAATTTTTGTCCTTTGCTTTGCTAAATATTGGTGAGAATTTCCCACAGAGAACAAGTTTCCCATGGCATGTGACAGGCACTCAGAGCAAGCACCCATAGTATCTTTCTGTTTACTATTAAAGATATTATCTACTGTTGTCTGTCTATCTCCTGTGACCCTGTGTTAAGCCCTCATGTTGCTAACTAAACTGCCAAGGTTTTCAGATCCTCCCCCTGTAAGGCAAATAAACCTTTGCTTTTCACTAAGCAAGGAGGCTTTTTAGGAGCAGATACCAGCACCCTGCCCTCAGTCTTAACGTCCCAAGTAGAAAATTGCACTCACAAAGCAACTTCATAGAGACGTTCTGAAAAAAAAAAAAAAAAAA